TGCTGCCTCGCGCCGTGCGTGGGCGTGCAGGTGTCGGAGCTTGTGCGTGTGCGTCGCACGTCAGTCGTCACCGCGTCAATACCTGCCGCTGAAGGGGCGGGGCGGGGCGGGCGGCGCCGGCCTGCCGGCGGCAGCACCACGCACTCAGCGCCGCTGCCGACCGGCCCGGCTATAAATAGCGAGCGGTGAGCGCGCGGCCCGGTCCGGCCCGGCCAGGGTACGACCGCCAGACCTGCGCCGCGTGTCCGGCTGCCTGGCAGCGCCGGCCGGGCAGCGGAGCCGGGACTGATCCCGGACCATCTCGAGGCCCGGTCACCTTCACCGGCCTCGAGAGATGGGCCGCCGGCCGCGGCCGAGCGCGACTCCGGTAGCGAGGGGAGAGGTCGTTCCAGCGTCCGCGACCTCGTCCGGTCAGACCGTGGTAATTTTCCCTCGGTGTTGGCCTCATTAGTGCGTAGCGCGTGGTATGTACTGTTGCGACCCCGTGTCAGTTATAGACCTGGTGGCTGAGGTTAGCAATGAAAGCAGGCGTACACTAAGGTCTGATGCGGTTTTTGCATATGTTAGCTGATCTAGCTAGGCTAACATACCAAATGGAGCCAAATGAGATCAAGCTCATTTTTCCGAAATTTACTGAACGTTTGAAAGGAAACTTACGTAACCTGCATTGGTTATGTGGGTAAGTGATGTGACAAACTCGCGGGATGGCCTGGCGGAGACAACAAGGTTTCACAGTAAGTCCTCGAGGACTTATTCGCAGTAAGTCCTACATGTACTTGAGCTCCTTTTGAAAATGCTAAGCTTATACAATAACTTTACACTCGAATAACTCGGTGTACGGTGCGACTTAACATGGACTTTGGCAACTAGTGATAGTGCCACTTTGAGGATTCCATCATGCATTCACCCCTGAAAAGCTCGGAGTGAGATAAACACCGTTTTTTAGTGGAATGTATAGGAGATTATGGGAAGCTTTCCTGGTGCGCTACGCGGTTTGCTTTTCGCCAGCAGCTTTCTCTTTTGGTTGAAAGAATTCTGCAAGCTTTTGGCCTGAACGCGGGGACGGTGGCCGGGGATGGCCACTAGGTCATGCTCTCATTATGGCTGCGTTAAGGCATAGTATTACCGCTGAGTGCACAATGCAGGCACCCGACGACCAGACGTGGAAAAAAGCAGCGTGCAGCTCATCAGGCTGCGCTCATTTGCCGGCAATAAATCGCTATGGGTGGGACGTTTCATAGCGCAAAGACGGTAACGCTAGGCATCGCTACTGTTTATCTCCTACACCGCCTGGGTCTTCTAGGTGCCCAGTTCCGATGCGCCGTGTTGATCGCAGCGCTGACAGATTCAAGTTCGTGATCAAGCTAAACAAAAACAAGGGCTTTTAGTGGAGAGCATGCCTTTCAGCTATTGGGGAAATCACGCTCTTAGATACGGCACAAGTCGGGGCACGGAGGACATAGACCCGACGAAAAGAACTGCTCTCACGTGCCGTGTTCGAACTACCACCGCGCCCAGTGCTGGCTATTCCATTACTGGAGGAGATTTTGTTGCAAAATCCCATTCCGACATGCAGAGTGTCAGTGTCCACAAAACATACATTCGTAGTAGATTTTAAAGATGTTCGAATGCATGTATATTTCCTTGTTCATCCTGTTTGTGTTTCGTCTCACGTGTTAACCTTACCGCCTTCCGATGCGGGCAGATTTTTTTGCCCCGGCAACCCAGCTATGTTTGTCTAATTGCTCTTCAAGCGTCCAGTGTTGTCATGTGAGTGCAAATTATTTCGGCGTTTTATTTTGTGTTGCCCGTGACGCTACTCGTTGAATAAGTATTTGTATATCAGATTGCGCCCCCAGTTACCCCATCACTCGCGTTAGCTCCATACAATTCAGCGAAAAAGCGTCTGCGACAAGAAGCCGATAGGGAGCTTACACGGCCAGCTGTTCTCGGACACCCTGACTGGCATGCACTATGTTCTTGGATACCCTGACTGTCATGCACAATGTTCTCGGATACCCTGGCTGTCATGCACCATGTTCTCGGATACCCCAACTGTCATGCACCATGTTCTCGGATACCCCAGATGTCATGCACCGTGTTCTCGGATACCCTGGCTGTCATGCCCAATGTTCTCGGATGCCCTGGCTGTCATGCACCATGTTCTCGGACACCCTGGCTGTCATGCACCACGCACGGGTCCACCCGGCTTGAAATGACCGGACATGTCGGTAATAACACTACCTTCACGATGTGCAATCATTCTCTCGACTGCCCTCATGACGGCGCTGAGCATAAACGGCTTAAGTGTTGCACTTCGTAGTAATTGCAGGCGTAATCAAGGCCGTTACGCTTTAGGAAGCCATTTAACCGAAGCAGGCGGCTACATAGTGGAGACCCCATTCATACTGGCCTGCCCATCGTTCAAAAAGTCTATGGCTCCTCCCCCCCCCCCCCCCCCCCCCCCCCCCCCCCCCCCCACCCCCCCCCCCCCCCCCCCCCCCCCCCCCCCCCCCCCCCCCCCCCACCTCCCCTCAGCCTACCGGTTATCTTATCGTGTAAATGATCCATTTTGCATGCAAAGTTTTGAATTGCTGTGATGAGAGGCAATCGTTTAATATACCCTATATCTCTTTATCAGGGTTAATTTCTTCTTCATCGACTCTCTTTGAAATGCATTGTAATTGGCTGGTATGACGTGGCAGACCAAATGTCCCGCACCCCTGCCCAAAGCGTTCATTTGTGACCGCATCATTCACGCTATAAACTAAATTCCGGCGCCATCTTTTGGGTCGTGCATACAATCCCAGCCACGATGCTGACGCGCAAACGTATGAAACGTCAATGGCTGACGCATCTGGGCCGAGGCCTGAGCCTGCCCATGCGTCAGTGCTGCGCCGCCGCTGGCCTGCAGAACAGGCAGCCGTCCTGACCGCCGCAGGTCGGCCATTGGCGCGCGCTGCCGGGGCCTCATTACCAGCGCCGGCTGATCCACCCCGGCAAGCAACAGCAAATCTGATCCGGAGCCGGTGCGGCCGCGGCGGTGATCGCCGCCGGCGCCGGCGCGCTCGATGAACGACCTGCCAGTGGGCCGCCCCAGCGCGCAGGCGCCGCCGCCGGCACCGACGCGTCGGCGGCAGCGGCGCCGGCAGTGTGGGCGCCATGACCCTCTGATCGCGGCGCGCGTGCGGGGCGGCACGCCGGGCGTGCGGCGTGAGCGAGCGGCGCGCGGCGTGACATGCGAGCGCGCCGCTGCCCAGCCCGCCAGTCCGATGAAGGCAAGCGTGGCCCCGCGCGCGTACCTCACCTACCCTTGGCGCGTACGGGACATCCACTGCTGGGTGAGTGGGGCGCTGCTGGCCGCCGCCGACGCCTCACGGCCGTGTCCAGCGCCGGGCGGGATGTCAAGTGTCTTCCATCCCGTCGACACTAGCCTGACATCTTGTTAAGCTGGATATCGTGACCGTTCATCAGTGGCGAGCTGGGTGGTCCCCCCACGCGCAGTCCGGTTTCTTTCACCGGGTAACATCCCACACCACGTACTCCCGTCGTGCCTGTGCCGACTCTCTGACCTTCTTTCCTGGCGTTCGTACGGACGGGCGTGTTAGTATCTGCCATTTCGTATGAATCTGCCGGGATGTCAGATTGATAAGTGATCCAATCGAGGAGCAGGCCAGTTGCGAGACTGCTTGTGAAGCCTCGCTTGGGCAGCAAGGAAGGTAACATCAAAAGCCGTATGTCCTGAAATATCATGAAAGTGTCTCGTTCGTAAAATGTCTTTATAACTTTTCATTGATTTGGCACGGAATAATGTAGGATTAGCTATAGTTACAATTTGTTACAGAAACTCGGACCGTCTTACTTCTCAATCACGCAACACCAACAAATGGCGCCGTTTTATAAGAAACGCCACGAGTGCTATGATGTTAATACTATAATGGCTGTAGTGGCTTACAAATTTTCACAGCTCGTAACATTGCTGCGCCTTGAATAACGCACGATGCGGGACAGGTACGGTGAACGTATAACGTTCTTCTGCAGAAAAACGCCTGTCGCATACCAGCTACCAATATACACTTCGCTGGCCACAATACGTAGCACAGCCGCCTCAATTTCAGGCCTGTTGTTGGGTTTGTGTTTTTGCGCATATGATATATTGCCAGTTTAGTTCCATCACTTTTGTACTTTTTTAAATGCACCAGTGATAATTCTGTCGCGAAAAGGACCTCACTTCCTCGGTAACACTTTTGAAGCACGCAGCATAGCTTCTGGAAAGTGACGGTATGAGCATACTCGTAAGCAAATGATGAGATTGCAAACGATCGCTCGCAAAAAATGATATCCAGTTTTTTACCTCTCATTTTCGTGTCGATAAGGTGACTTAAAAAGCCGCGCGTTCCCAAAATGTCTTGTAAGGTTCCTTAAGTCAGTGGGAGGATTCTCCGGATCGAGAATGTCAACTAGCAAGTCGAATGCTCGATTCTAAACGTATTTCGTGCCGGCACCAGCCTCCAGCCAGGCACTCATTTTGCCTGAGTGATAGGCATGTAAGTTCTGCCATTAGTGGCTCGGAGCCGGCGACACGTCGTCTTCCGGCCGAGTCGTGTATAAGAAGCCTATTCACCCATGCGACCTTGACCTCTACGACATTTCCCCATGAAGGCATGTATGCAGCATGCTCTTCTGGTATACTATCTTTGCGACATATAATTCTGGTATATTATTTTGTTTTATTGCGACACAAATCATGTGCGATCATGTTCTATGATATATGTGTACTTACTATCCTGAATCGAAACGATGTGTTGTCACTGATTTTTATCTCGAACGACCTTCGTCTCATACGATCTTTCTACATACAGCATTACGCATGCGACTTTTTACCACGCGATCTACTGGTCGTCTTGAGATGCTCTAGAGTGAAATGATACATCCTATCCCGTGGTAGTGCCGCGCATTGCCATCGAACAGTCGTGCTCCCTACGGTAAAGCTCACTTACGTCATTGCTTCAAAAGTCGGCCATAGTAATGGACTTTCATTGCCCAATCACATGGTCGATCCCATTCAAAATGAACAGGTCCCACTAACCGGGAATTGGGATTAGGTACTCGCTGTAAGGAAACCGAAAGGCTTAAAACAGCGGAACACATTGAACAAGTTGATTTTTTCAGTAGTTTATTACCACATCTTGAGCTGAGATGAGTCCCACGTGCGACAGCGGTTCGTCGGAATGTGACTGATGTGATTGAGATGACTGCTAGAAGACGTTTTAACTATGAATTAATGTACTGAACAGCTTGCAAAAAGCTTTGTTAACATGTTTGTATGAATTCTTAGTACATACTTAGCACTCTGACGATGAACATATTGTTTGCATACAGTTCCAGTGACACTCAATGGGCAAACCACATGAATCTAACCAAGAGAACCTTTGTTACATTAAACGAGACACTTGACAGTCATTCATTCAGCCCATGTCTTTAGTTCACTCAGGATCTAGGATAATACTAGGCCTGGTAATCAGCAATATGAACCGGTCGTGGGCGTTTGATTCCGGCTGCCTCATTATTGTTAAACATCGGTGCTGTGAACCAAGGTGAGCGTTGATAACAATTTCATTCAAGGTTTCTATGTCTTGGATCATGTTAAGGTGTAAAAGCCCGAAAAGTTCAGTAAGTTCTGCAATCCCGCTCTGTATGTATGGTAAGCAGGCCCTGTAAGTCCTGCATACCTATAAACAGGGATGTTACAAGGGTATAAGAATTTACTTTACCACGTCTGCGTCGGATTCTGCTGTCAACAGGTGTCTGGAGACTGTGATGATATCTAGCACCTCCCTTCATGGGTAATTTCGGTGCAGTGCGGAACATATTTGTAAATATGAAGAGCTCTGAGGCACCAATTCCAGCCTAATTTGTACGTTGTGTAATGAAATCGTCGTATCCTATCCTTTTACCTCATAATTTGCCTCTTTTCAACGTGTTGCATTGCTACTCAACTATGTCATATACGGCACATAAGATATATCGAAATGTGTGTATTTATCCAAAGGGAATTGCCCAATCCTCCACATACTGCGTAATGCTTCACCCCTCTAAGGTATGCCAAATAGCATGGCGCGTATTAAGTGGGTGATCTTCCTTGCGTTGCAGAATCAAGGGAACCTGACTGGAGAAGTCACCACAATTCCCGGCAGAAGTCAGGTCAGCCAGGCTCGCGGCCTCTCCAAGAAGAATGGCATCATCGTCAACGAGGTATGCGTATTTGAATGCAGTAAATATGTAGTGGAATTGTTGCCTTGGGACCGCAGGTTAACACGTGCTCCGGTGGGGGGGCAATCCCCCCCGAACGTTTTCACTGAAAATGTTCCAAACTGCGCGGCGTAGCGCACCAAAGTTTTCAAGGCTATAGACAACCAATAAAAAATTTATACGTTCCTTGTAAGGTCGCTGACCTACGGCGGTTTAAAGTCAGGCCATGAAATAAGGGAAGACATTACCTAGGGGATCGTTCATCTGATGCAGCAACGGGGTGGCAGACGAAGCCATACATCTCTGATATTGTTCCTTAGGTGACACAACAATTAAATGAACACGTTCCATTGACCTGGGGTCAGGTATGATAAAGTACAGACCAAGGTCAAAACCTACCTGCCTTATTACTTATAGCTTACTGCGTGAGGTAGTTTCTGACGCTCATTTTGGATCTGTTGATAACAAAAACCGCATTTTACATCTTATGTAAACTTTTTAAAGTTCAGAACAGGTCATCGACCCAATATGACTCGGCCAGCGTTCTTTTTCTGGGAACATGCTGCCAAGCGTAAGCTTTGACTTTTATTCCAATGCAAAACACGAAGCAGCCTTTTCTGTTTTGGTCACCATGACTCGCAGAGGGTCAAACAAGGTTACTGACCTAACATGAGCACCAGTGACTATCTGCTTAGAGCAGGTAGCTAGGTTCTGGGGGCACGTTGGACACCAATCTGGAGTTTGTCCTTGTTTGACCTTAGTTGACCCGTGAATCATGACCAAGGAATCTCAAATTTTGGTACAAGTGAGTTCACTTGCATGTTGACACACCCTGTAAATTGGGTGCATCTACCTCTCTTAGTTTCTGAGATCTCAGGGGTCAATTTGACCCCCGTACCCGGGCGAATAGGATTCGACCAGCCGCTCGGGCGCGTGGGCGTGGGCTGAGGTGGGATGCAGTTCTGAAGCCCGCCCATTGCAGTCGCCGCCCGCCTGACCTGATATGCTGTACCGTATGTCCCGGAGACTGCCACGGGCCCCACGAGGTCTGTAAGGCGTTGGCGGCAGAAACATGCTTTGACCGTTGGAATCATGATTGGTTTGAACCCATATTAGTTTGATGTTCGTGTTTTTCTGTCTTATGCAAAAGAAAGATAAGAGACAGGCGTGTAAGCGGCAAGCTGTCCATTGTCTTCCAATCGTTCATTCATCTAAAAGATGTCATTAATTTCAAAGATGAAAGACTACTGCATATTTTAGCAGGCGCCGGGTATAAATTTTCTGTGGCTGTGATGTATCCTCTTCGCCTCTGAATGGTACTAAGCACATTTTATTTAAAGGTACTTGCTAGCTTAAGTGCCGATTGCAATATCTGAACTATTCACGGGCACTTGAAGCGACTGTCCCACCTTTGAAGTATACTTCAAAAACATGTCCTCGTAAACTATCAGAACCACTTACGTCTAATAATAGTACTGGATGGTAACACAGCAACACCATCAATGCATAATGAGGACAGCAGTTGCAATTATTGTCTAGTCCAAACTACGCTGTCTGTGCTTTGAAACAGCACTACGCTTCGTTCCTGCGTTTGTCGCTATCCCCGTCCCCATGACAACCACCGTGTCACCTTTAATATTGCCAATTTACTAGCACCTTATCTAGTGGCACTTTTACTAGTGCCAATAAAAAATGTTTGTGATTGACCCAGCGGGCGGCAAGGGCTTGTTACCGAGAGGCGCATTGGTTGAGGTCTGAGCCAACGCGTCACAACAGACCATGTGATACACCCATTCCCAAGGTTAAAGTGTGGCTCGAAAAGGGCCATCGAAGTAAGCGTCATATGGGAGAACTAAAAGCCACAGTGAAACGTTTTGTTAGATTTGAGGGGTAAAGCCTAATGCTACGATATTTTTTTCTGAACAATGCTGCAAGTTTTCGTAGGATTTTCAACACAAAGTTTTGACACGATAGTGTGTTGCAAACATTATAGAACACACACGCTTGAAAATTCATTCAAATGAAATGTGTTACGTTCAAGGTGGTAAACAGGCAGTTCAATGACATTTCTTCCTCAGGAGCGGACACCTCGAATAAAAGTTCGAAGCTTTTCAGAAGGATTTCGGAAGCTGGCATTGCTCATCAAGCTGTACGCCTCTGACCTACCAATAAGCAGACAGTACAAAAAGGCGGCATACTCCCTTTAAAACGAGACGATTAAACACGTGAAAAAGCTTGTGCACTCAGACCACTTGGCCGTGCCGTTCCAGCGCTTGCCGGTGCTGTCCGGGAAACGTCCACAACAGAACGGAGCCGGCTCAGTGGCCGGTGGACGTGGCCTTCCGGTGATCCAAGGCCCGAGCCCGCGTGAGTCTTCGTTCACCAGCCGGACCGACGCTCACGGACGACCACTGCCGCTGAGCCCGTCAGGTGAGCAGCGCGCCCGGGTATTGGGCTGACACACACGGGCTTCTGCTGCCGCTGAGCCCGTCAGGTGAGCAGTACTCCCGGGTATTGGGCTGACACACACGGGCTTCTGCTACCCCTGAGCCCGTCAGGTGAGCAGTACGCCCGGGTACTGGCCTGACACACACGGGCTTCTGCTGCCGCTGAGCCCGTCAGGTGAGCAGCACGCCCGGGTATTGGGCTGACACACACGGGCTTCTCCTACCCCTGAGCCCGTCAGGTGAGCAGTACTCCCGGGTATTGGGCTGACACACACGGGCTTCTGCTACCGCTGAGCCCGTCAGGTGAGCAGTACGCCCGGGTACTGGGCTGACACACACGGGCTTCTCCTACCCCTGAGCCCGTCAGGTGAGCAGTACTCCCGGGTATTGGGCTGACACACACGGGCTTCTGCTACCCCTGAGCCCGTCAGTTGAGCGGCACGCCCGGGTTCTGGGCTGACACACACGGGCTTCTCCTACCGCTGAGCCCATCAGGTGAGCAGCATGCCCGGGCTCTGGGCTGACACACACGAGCTTCTGCTGCCGCTGTTAAATCTTTCAGACGAGCTCTAGCGCTCTCAATGCTAACTTAATTGCATGGGGACTTACAAAGGCCATAATTTTCCTTAGATCCACTCCATACGACGTGTTTGGCCGTACAACATTCACCTAAAGAGCGTGGCTTTAACATTTCTTGCCATTTGTGCTTTTTAATCACGTAGACTTAAAACGACAGGAGAACTTTTGCATGGTCATCTGGTCTATGCCTTAGCACTGTCTCAGTTCGAAAAGTTAACGAATATGTGAAACGGATCGTCCGGAAAGTATCATTGAGAATCAACAGACCGCACTGCACATGGCTCTCGCTGTAACAACTCACATAAGCCACTGAGCACACGCCAATCCACATCAAGCAACCCTAAGCTCTCTGTAGTGTTGCATATCGCTACTATTACACAAGGCGCGCCGGGGGGAGGGAGGGGGGGGGGGCACTCAGTGAAGTCCTTGGAATTCAACCGGTCACTTCCTGAGGGCATGGCGTGTACCTCCTTGGTTTTATACCGCAACTCCCACGCCAACTCTGCCAGTAACCTTACGCTTCCATTGCTCTTCAACGACCTTTACGATTCGTTATCATACGCCAGGTTGCAGACAGACTGGTCTGTTTCATATTGTTATATGTATGTGTTGTTGGCACCGCGGTGCCCTATATAATTCCGGATATGTTGTATAACTTCGTGAAGTCTTAACGAAATATCATATATATATATATATATATATATATATATATATATATATATATAAACGTTTTCCCCAAAACGTTGCCTGTCGCATTGTTTGGAGATGACATGCCACATCTTTCGCTGGGACGTGATGTGATGATAAGAACTTGTCACCACATCACAAACTTCTTTAATGATATCGCATCATCGCCATATGCTCCTTTGAGAAATCAGTGAATCCGAACAGTGTTACCTCTGGTAGATTTCACGCCCTGGTCACTTCACGCTCATGTGCTTCCTTCTGTCTCGCTCCAAAGCAGGCGGCGTAAAAGGCCAGAGTGAATTGACGGCTTGACTCGCATGCATGTTACGTATTTTACAACCTCATAAGAACAAGTAATGAGATTGTCAAACCACGGTTAAAACTTCCGAGGGAAAATAAGCTCTGGGTAGTTCGAGCTCGAGAGTCGAGCGGAGCCGTAAACAGGCGAAGGAGTTGGTTTTGTCGGCGCGGTGAGCACGGTCCCGAGCGCTCTAAGACCGCTCTTCTAAGTTCTTGCACATGAAGAGTCTGTGGAAATATTGATCTGGAATGTTTGTCTTATTATGAAAACTGATGTTTTGCGAACTTTACCTTCTGTTTAAGCTACTAACACTTTGAACTATTCATGTGGTGTGTAGTACACTTCCATTGAGTGTTTCAATTTTCAACATGTGGTTGACCATTCATCTCAATATTATATTAATATCCGTCTATCCAGTTCACTCTCGTTCCTTACCCTGGAAAAAAGGTAATTCACCCTCTCAACTTTACTGTAACAAATTACTATCCATACGCAAACTACCACAACAAAACCAATGGACAACAAATGCAAAGCAACGAGGCCAAGTCAACGTTACAAAGAACTTGGTAGGGCTTGGAAACCTTCATCAAGGTATAGCATGAAGAAAAACTGGTACTTAGATAGAATTATTTTGCCCCTTAAATCCCCGAAAAAAAATTGCGTAAGGCAAGTAATGGAATCATGTTCAACGAGCTGCGATAAACTTCTTAACACGCGCTCGGATGGGGGTCAAATCGACCCCACAAATTATTTTTTTTCAGAATGGTTTCCGAATGGCGCGGCGCGGGCGCACCAAATTGTGCGTAGCTGTAGAAAATTGAATAGCGAATCGTTTGACATGAGAAATTTAGATGTATCCTGTAAGGTCGCTGACCTACGGCAAGTCAAAATCAGCCCATGGTTTCAGCAAAGGCAATTTCTAGGGAATTTTTCAACCTGATGCAATAACGGAGTGTTTGACGAAGCCATACATCTCTGAGATGCTTTCTTACTCAACACAAATATTGAATGAGAAAATTACTTTGACCTAAGGTCAGGTACAAAGGTCAGACCGAGGTCAGAACCAACCTGCTTTATTACTGTAGGGCTTGTTGTATGGGATAATTTATGGTGCTCATTTCCAATTGATTGATAACAGGAACCGCACTATAATCTTCCATGGACTTCTTAGAGATCAGAATAGGTCGTGGATCTAAAATGACTCAGGTCAGCATTTTTTTGTTTGTTTGTTTAGGAACAGACCGCCTGACGTAATTTTTGTCGCTTATCCAAATGCAAAACCCAGAGTAGTCTTGTATGATTTTGGTCACCATGACCTTCAAAAAAGTCAAACAAGGTCACTGACCTTACCTGAGCTCGTGACCTTTTGCCTACAAACAATTCCTTAGGTTCTGAGGGCACTATGGAGACCAGCCTGAAATTTGACCTTGTTTGACTTATTTTGACCCGAAGGACATGACCTAGGAAGCTCAAACTTTGATTTAAGAGATTTCACGTGCAGGGCAATACGTCCTGTGAATTTGGTGTCTCTAACTCTCTTAGTTTCAGAGATCTCAGGGGGGTCATATTGACCCCCGAGCGAAGGGTTTCTAGCCAGTCACCCGGGCGCGTGTTAAGGTGACCAATTTAGTAAACAAGCCGAAATAAATGGTCTAATTTTTAGCAGCTCACCTCTGGTTCAATTGATAAATTTTACTGAAAAGTAGCGCTTGAAATCCTGGAGATTGTTGAGTGGAATAAAGCCAAGCTTTGGATGCATATATTAAGCTACTAGGTGCGGGTTTTGGTAAACGCAATTTAAATTGGCCTCTGTGTATGCTTATTTGATAATTTCTCGGCTTTACGACGCGTTGATTCTTGAAGCACGATCATGTTATCATTTGCCACAAGAATACATTCCATCTCTTGACCTAGTATGACTTTACAAGTGCGTATGATTTAAATTTCGTCATTTCAGTATGTTTAAATTGGCAAACAGCTACAAGATAGGTGTATCTTCCTCATTACGTATCTTCCTCATAAACTTATGAAATGCCTGTAAACGTGTGAGTACAGTTTTCACGCTTTCGATTTGTCCTGTCATTTGCCTTGCTTCATTCCTATAACCCGGATAAATGTACATATATTTAGATATGTATAACCTGGAAGAAGTTTCGCAAATTGCCGTTTTAAATAGCGTTGGGCACGGCCCGCAGGTCAGCAATCACCTGCAGGTTAGCAAATTAGCATGTCCGTGCGTGGGTCGTACAATCCACGGGCATATTTTGCAGTGTGATTCTAACCGATTGGTTGAATTATTCCGGCGACATTCAAAGGGAGCGTTCAGCAAATGCAAAGAAACGAATTCCTTAGCACCTGGGCGTTACCATCAGACCTGCGGGAAGACGAGCTTCAACCCTAGGACTCCCTTGGTTCTTGGCGGAGCCGCTGCATCCTACGAACCCCGCTGACATGAAGTATCTTCTTCGAACACCGAGGATGCATGCGCCAGGCCGAGCCAGATCACAGAGCTGATAGTTCGCGTCGATGCGTGAGCGGTGAGATCCTCAGTTAACAGCGAGGTGGTGTTGCAGGCTCTGACTCGCCCCCCCCCCCCCTCCCCCTCCCCCTCCCCTTCTTCCCGCCCCCGGGCTCGGGTGTCGCCTGGCGACTGGTGCAGCTCGTTAGCCTGGCGACAGATTGGAAGTGCGTTGATTCTAGAGGCGGTCCGCTGCTCAGGAACGTGCCCAGCGCGTCACTGCACCCGTCGATGTCGTCACCGCGCAGACCTCGGCTAGCGGCCAGACACGAGTCTGTTAACCGGTGACCGAAGGTCACTGAGATTGGAAGGCCCGTCACCGCGCAGACCTCGGATGGCGGCTGAATACGGATCTGTTAACCGGTGACCGAAGGTCACTGAGATTGGAGGATCATATCGGACCCATCACATTGGGGAGATTTGCGTGGCAAAAGACGATAGATAATGCCGGGTGTCTCTGTCTCTCGGGAACAGTATGCTAGGTGACTGAGGCCAGAAGGTTCTGGCTATACCAGTCGCATGGTTGTAAATTGACCGACCGTCACGTCGCTCAGTTGGTAGGGTTTGTGACATTCCATAGTCCGGTACTTAGTTATTGAGTTTTAGGGGCGTGTCAGGTGCGTTAATTATTTGTGCCAACCACATGCGGATGCTATCCATTTCACTAGAGAACTTTGACGTTTCTTATTGTATATCATATTTCAGACAACTGCTCTACTCACACATACTTAAGTCATATTTCAAATCATGTGCAATATAGCAAGCATCGAAAACTGTCCAGTGCTTGATGTGTCATGATGCCCGCTGCTCCAAAATATGACAATATTTAAGGTCGCAAACTATCCTTACCAGTGATAGCAATGCATTACATCACAGGTACGTTTGGTGTAGCAGTCTGTTGGAGTCCCACACTCACTGCTGTTATTTTTTTTTCTGACCGGTTGCCCGAGGCCCAAACAGATAGATGGAAATCGTTCGGGGAAGGAAGGGGTGCGGACTGCGCGATCCCGGCGCACGAGACCATCTGTTGCTCCTGACCCGGCTGCATGTGGCTGGTCCCACATTGGTATTACTTATTATTGTAGCCAGACCGGCATTGGTATACATACTTATTGTAGCCAGACCGGCTAACGGTCCTCAGCAAACAACCCGTCAAATTAGCATCATTAGTAAGTGTGCGGTTAACCATTGCGCACATGCTTTCTATCTCTCATCTCCTCTCTTCACCGATACTCTCCTTCTCTCCTCCCCTTTCTCTTTACTTTTCTCTTTCTGCTCCTGCTCACTCTTTATCTCTTGCTCTGTCGCATTCGCTTTGTTTCTTTCCCTCTGTCTCTATTTTACTGGGGACATCAGCGTCGTAACGAAATTTATTGCATGGTTTAATCTCTTGTGCGATACCCTCAGCCTCGTAGTGTAAACTCTCATATGACGTTGGACAGCAGGCGGAGCCTGTCTATCAAGCCAAAGTGTCTGTTGTCGGCAGGACTGATTTACGACATTTATATGGTTGGATGATTGGGTGAATCGACCATCCCGGCCGTCATCCGAGTCTCGAGCGCACGACCTTTGGGATCCGGCCCGTTGTTTCGAGCGCACGACCCGTGGGACCCGGCCCTTTGTTCTGAGCGCACGACCAGTGGGACCCGGCCCGTCGTTTTGAGCGCACGACCTGTGGGACTCGGCCCGTTGTTTCGAGCGCGCGACCTGTGGGACCCACCCGTCGCGCTAACGCCAGCTGTGCTCTACAGACGCCACCCGCTACTACGGCTCGTACATGTCCGAGTACGAGCTGGCCGAGGTCGAACAGTACGAAGAGGTCTGGTTCCTCGGCCTGGACGCCAATAAGCTGCCCGGCGACGAAGCGCGCCAGCAGAACGGGGGCTTCGACGACGAACACGGCAGCTACATCAAGGTATGTCTCGCGGTCGTCGCACAAGCCGGCCACTTGTTGCTTGCAGTATACGCGGACTGAATGCGAACTGGTCACCGCTGTACGTTTCTAGACGTTGACAGGTAGTACTTTTGGTACGCAACGGAGCGCGTTGTTACCACCGAATATTGTGGGTCGGGTAGCGGTCAAGGCGTTGGTAATGACTGAATGCGATGCGGTGGGGCTGGAGGCTGGACGAGCTGCGAAAAACTTGCGTCTTTTACGATGCCACATGCTAGCATTTTCTCCTGGGCGACTCCCTGCGCGCCTCAGACAGAAATACACCGTCGCAGAGTCCCGGGTGAGTGCGGCGCGGTCGTTGCCGCACCACCTGCAATTGGCACGCGTTACCTCACGCCACCACTGACACACCATTTGCGTCCAACCGGACCGGAAGCTCTGCCAGGTGACAATGCAACAAAGCATCTGCTAGTCCGTTTCCACTGCCAGCCGGCATAGCTGTGAGAAAGAGGACGTCTGGCTGTGAGCCACCTATAGCACCGGCACGTGGCTCATTAGCGGCGGGGCGCCATAGTTCTCTGTGCGGAAATCGTTGTTGGCTTCTGAATTTTGCGCTCGCTATGCTGCTTCAGGCCGAACCTCATACGCCGTCTTCAACAGCGCCAACGGTACCTTTCGGTTCGCCGTATCTAGACCATGTGCTATGGATGCTGCATTGCATCTCTGTACCAGCTTCCCACGGAATTTTCCAGAAAATTGCAGCGTGAATATCTTCGAGAAAACTGTTAAAAAACGGTATCACATTACCCCGGTAAGTGGATCACAGTGTTCTGTTTTCTGCGAATTATGCCAGATGATATGTATCAGATCCTGGTATAACTCGTATTACTTTCATCTTCGCTGGACGCAGAAAGAAGTCCTGCTATTGGGGCGATTAACACGCTAGCACCACGCAGAAATGAGATGCGAGCGTTCACGCATTAAGATTTCGCGAGTGTTAAGACAGCGCTAATTAATATAGGACGGCGCCGGGCGTATGTTTGATGAAGTCGTGATGCAGCACAGCCAGCAAATGGTACGTCAGATGATGAAAGTTGTGCCTGGACATTGCTTACCTCCAGACATGCAGGATATTTGCACTGCAACGCAAATTCGGAATATTAGCCGCTGTCCTAGCCCGTTCACATTTCCGTTCGGGTCTCGTGAGATCTTCGGTTCCAGATGGTGCTGAATCGTACCGAATCGAGCTCCTGTTCGGACAGCGCTGCAGAATACGTATCTCATAACGAAGACATGCTTGCTGGAGGTCACTACATGCAACATTCACCACCGTCCACTGCCCATTGCTCGAGATATTTATTAGACACAATCCGACCTGGGTCGACAGATCTCGCCCATTGCTGTGCCGTACTCCGCTTTGCCCTGTGTCCGGCGCTAATATTAAATGTGCTCGGCATGCAATGCATACAGACGTCATTTAATCTACGACTTGAAGCGCGTGTAATGCTAGATCATCACACCTAACTCAATTCCTGGTTGCTTATAAAAAAAATTACCTGGTTGCTGGTAATTTGGCGCAGAGTGAACGCGAGCGGGTGTTATTATGCTTTCTGAACCTCGCTGCGACGTATGCCAGGTGCTGCTGTTTCTCATGCCGGTGTGGCCAAGTAAACGGCATGAGTGGTCACTGTCTACTTGGTAATTGCACCGCGTTGATGAAAACACCGCACCGCGCTCATGACATTGCCGCACTGTGTTAACGAGATCACCGCGCCGCGTTTGACTTCATGGTCAGACAGCTGTCATCTGATCACATGCCTTTTGTTCCCGCGCTTTAATTTTTCTCATATTGACTAGCTTCGACATACCTCCATAAGCGTAGTTGTGCTGGAGGCCTTGAGCACAGGCCCATGGCTAAGGCATCAAATCCCAAAGATGCCATCACAAGATCGCCCTGCGGACACCAGAAATTGCGTAGCCGGCAGCTGAGCGGAATGCCCACACTCAGCTGTCGGTGAGGCAGCACTCACCGGCCGACATATACCCACTGTCACCCCATCGGCCCTGAAGGATCAAACCACACACGATGCTAGCGCCGCTGCTGCTTTGTCCGATGGGTGCCGGCAGTGGTAGGGGTGTCAGAGCTTTGACACTCCGGACGAGGCGCATTTGAGCCTTCCCTTGATACTGACGTCGGCGATGCCTCCATCCTTTCGTTGCTGGTCATTGCCACTCAGGTGCGTTGCAGACAGTCGCCGTCACCCAAAAACTCCCCACTCCAGTGTAGTCCTTCGCACCGACGACCCAGCCAATCATTTTGGCCAAACGTCAACACATGCATGAACATAGACGTGTATTTGGACTATCGGTGGCGTACTCGTGGCTTTTCAAGTCCATCGTCGCAGCGCTAAAAACAGGATGTTAATGGCTACAAACACATACACATACACATACATGCACAGCTCACAAACGTATACACACACATGGTTGCGCTGAGTGGTGAAACCGTGGCTTTTCAAGTCCATCGTCGCAGCGCTAAAACAGGATGTTAATGGCTACAAACACATGCACGTACACACACGCGCAGCTCACAAAAGTACACACACACATGGTTGCGCATGCGTGCATGACCCGAGCCGTTTCGTGGTCAGGGCGGCCTTTGACGCAATAAGTGGCGCTCCAGCGCACGACGAGACCTCACGGTTGGGAGCTGCGTCAGGTCACGGGAGATGAGGCTATACTGAGTGGAGGTTGAACATCACAGACGCCTCCTTCCGACGTCACCGTGTGACCTAAGAACGAAAAAATATCCACCCTGCTGTGTGTGGCAGTCTCAGATTTGAGAAAGCACCCACAGCTCACGGGCCAGCGCCTGTGTCTCACCAGAAGGAAGAATCTTTTGGAGAAGCGTCAGGCTGTGGGATTCCGCAAGGCATTCTGCTGGGAGCCAGCCGAGCTTCTCCGCCGGAGCCGAGACGGGATGAACTTTTCCGCCCAAAGATCGCTTTAACTGCAAACATGATGACTTGTGGACCCGGCGTTTTGTCTCCCGTATGATTGTCAAAGTTTTAAAAGCGGCATTTTGGATTTGCGAGAGGGCCGATGCGTTACCAGGGTAAAGATGAAACAAGCGGGCAAATAGCTCCTCAGATGAGATAGATCAGAAAGGGCACATCAAAATCAGTAAGATGGCGAGAGATGCTGCTCAGCTGAGAAACGGATCAATGACTAGTCCTATGTTTGCTTTCCTCCGAACAGCAGAGAGCTCGTGTTCATCAAAGTTCGAGGTGAATTTCGGGAGTTGCGCAAATTTTGTGGGCTTCTGGACAAAAGTAATTCAGTTTTCTCAACATTTTCTTTGAGTCTGTTAGCGCAAAGCCAGGACGTCGAGGACAGGCCAGGATGTTTTCCATCTGGGTGACGGCGTTTTCATTTTCTTTTGCCGCTGACTAGAATTGGCCGTCGTCCGCATACTGCACAACGACTATCACCCTTTGCGAAGAGACTGAGATCGTTCTCGAAGGTTTGCAATAGGGTAGGGGCCTAATGACGATCTATAAAAGCTCACATGTTGTTTGACAGCTTAGTAGGGAACTCGCTGTTCCTGAATTGGCTAGATGCTCCTCATACTCTGAAAAAGTTTAAAGAGGTAGGTCGAAAACTAGGAATTATCGATGCTGCCACAATCCTATTCCTTCAGAAATTTTGAATGGTCCATCACATAGTAAGCAATTTTGAGCGGACTATCACATCAAAGCATTTGATTACGTCAACTGAGCAGAGCACTGGCTTGCGTCCATGGTGGTTAGCACTTAGTTCGTGACCGGATATACAAGCCAGCGCAGTTTCCGTGGAATGCGTAGTCTGAAGCCGTGCTGGTTTCGAGGAAAGCAGGTGATTTTTAGAGAGGTAGCCATAGAGCTGGTAATGGACTGCACTCTCCACAATTCAGCTATGGAAGGGACAATCCTAGCTATGGAAGGTAATAGAGATGTGCTGAAATTAGAAGGATGCGTAGCCCAACATCGAAGGATGCGACTAACGAATTTGAAGATGAAAAGGCAGTGGGAAGCTTCAAGGACTCAAGCGCTTCAGATCAGGATGCGCTGTACACTGACCAGGTGGAACAGCATGCCGCTGATCGCTTCAGCGGATCGTAGAGCAGCGTGCCGCCGATCGCTTCAGCGGATCGTAGAGCAGCGTGTCGCTGATAGCTTCAGTGGATCGTAGAGCAGTGTGCCGCTGATAGCTTCGGCGGATCGTAGAGCAGCGTGTCGCTGATCGCTTCAGCGGATCGCACGCATGCTGTCACCGTCAGCGGCATCCGTTGTTGAAACGCTTTTTCGAAACATGATCGTGATTAATTCATTGGATGTTATTGGTAAAATTTTAAAGGCACAGGCCAGACGCGTGGTAGGCGACAGGGAAGAACTAGTTCATCACTCCGTGCCATTACTTCGCCACCCGTGCGTGGTTCTCGGGCAAACAATGACCCGGTCCGGCGCCTCAGCGACAAACCCCCTGTCCACGACCTCGACCTCTGGCCTTTACCACTAGCTATCCATCCTTATCGCGCCGCGTATCAGTGACCATTCGTTTTATCGTCAGTGGGGCTCGAGCGCCACGGCCGACCAGGGCCCTGTTCCTCAGTAACTCACGACCCGAATTCCGCCCGCTGAGGTAGCCTCATAGATACACGCCAATGGGGAGAGCTTTTGTTTCATATGCGCGCATAAGTAGGATCAGGTGGTCCAACCCCATGCAGACATATAGCGCGCAGTAATGACGTCCTTGAATATTATTCGATGTTAGGTGTATTTATCGCTGAACAATGAGCATTTGCAAGGGATCTATAGCTGAATGCATCATTACCAATCACACTTTGCTATGCTATGATGCTATGATTATCGATTACACTTTGCTATGCGTTGCCTTGTCGGCGCCGTCGACTTACCTGTAAACAAACGCACTTGCTTCGCCCCTCGACCGAGTAGGGACTGGTCGTGACGTCAGAGGCAAGGAATGGGCTTGCAATGCAAGGAAGGGGCTTTCACTGGTTTATGAAGAACAGAGCTCAAGTGAAAACCCGTCTGCCAGGGACGGGCTGAACTGGGCCTCGCGGCCTCCAGCCAGCCAGATGATGAATATTTGAGGCAATGGCCGGCAGCGTCGGTGGCACGGTCGCCATCCGTTCCCGTTATGTGACGTGTCGCACGTGGTGGCGGTGGTACGCAGCTCATCAGAGCAGGCCGGTCGTCCTGCTCTCAGAGAGCCGTCCGCTGGCGGGCGCCGGTGACTCACGCCTCAGGAGGTAGGTCCAGAGTCAGGGGTAGCAGCCACTCTTGGCGTCCACTGGGGCTGCGAATAACCGTGCGCCGTTGCTGCAGGTGCCGCACGATCACATCGCATACCGGTACGAAATCCTGGAGGTCATCGGCCGCGGGAGCTTCGGCCAGGTCATCCGTGCTCTTGATCACAAGACGAACACTCAGGTGGCCATCAAGATCATCAGGTACTGGCAGCCAGGGACGATACAAGCAGCAGATACTATATACTTCGATACTTCGGAACGAAAGCTTCCCTTTTTAGTTCAAGGTGCTTTTCAGATGGTGGTGTCTTTGCATATTTTTGTACCGTGCATGGCAACAACACAAATTATTCGCAGTATTTTTGGAAGTTAAATTACAAATAATTGTGCCGAGGTGAAAATTGGACAATGTTACACACGCCGGCATCACTTTTGTGATGTTAGCGGCATCGCTTTGATGCCGTCCCTCAAAAACATTGTCTACTGATCCCACACCAGAAGGGATAAAGAATAATCTGGTTCTGGACGATAAGCTCGCAGGCCATGTGAGACTTTTATGAGTCAATAATTTAAACTGTTTCCATATAGACGAAGGGAATTTTCGACACTTGACGATATTGAGGCAAGTACCAGTTATGATGGAAAAGGACCACTTGTAGCTATTGGTATGTTTTGAAGTGTCAGAGACTTCAAAACATACCAATAGACTCCGGATAATGGAATCCCACTATTTAGTACACATAAATATGCCCCTCAAGACATCATCGCTTGATTGCGTTATGTCAAATTTTCATGACGGCAGAGTCGCTGTCAGACCCACTGTATTGAGGAGGCAGTCTTTGTTTGACGCTCATATGACGTCATGCACCTCTGGGTGGCCCCAACTTCGGGGACGCGACATAGTTAACGCTGTTTCGCGCGCGGCTAGCTCAGAAACGCGAGGAAATTAATGTTTTCCAAGAGGCATGCCTGTGACGTGCAGGGAATGATCGTGAGAATGACTCCTTCAGTTCAAACCCACATACAAATATGGAACAGTCCCTTTCACTAGTACGGCTGGGCCCCGTGAAGTCAACTGACGCTTATTTTGTACGTATAATTACATATGCTAACAGGTAAGGCTTTCGTAAACCCATACATTCCACCACTAAGTTCTAAGGCTCTCCTCAAATGATAAGGCCTTCTGAGGTTGATCATATGCCTTATCTCGAAACAACTTAGCAGTGACTTAAACGATTCGGACGCAAGTTGTAGGTAGACATACTGACCTACCACCTAATCCTTGAATTCATCCTCTGGCACACGCAGTACCGCATCAGGCGGGATGTGCTGAGACAAAATGCACCTCCATAATATCACTAGCACCAAGGGTGTATCATTTTTACCCGGTCATTATGCAATGGATGTTTCGCCCATCAATTCGACACGATTGATTGAGAAGCTTCTATTCCCGGACGAGCGGGATTAAGGAGGACATCCGCGTGCAAAACACTTAGCTGGAATTGGTTCGTCCTGTCGAATAAGCACGGGAATTGCTGTGGACACAAAATTTCACTTCAAGGTTAGGCACCAGAGGCGAGGACTAAAGGCAATGTCGGCTGTTCGGAAAGCAATGTAGCGATGATCCCATTTAAATTCATGAGCAGCTGACGAGCGCTCGTACCTCTCCGAGTGTTCTGCGCAGTCCTCGGTCTAGTTATACAAATGTATTACGTTTCATCGTGTGTCCTGATTTCCTCCACAAACATTGGCCTTCGCGCTTTTGATTCTGACCTGACCCACTGTCATGTTGTGATGATAACATGTCTATACTATTTCTGAACCATGCATACTAATACAACAGCCGGATTTATTTTTGTGTACAAGCTTGTTAGTTAGTGTTAGCAAGTGTTGGCAAGTGTTAGCAAGCTTGCTCGGTAACTGGCGTAAGCGGGCACTGGGGTGGACAGTACAACACACTGCGACACCCACATTTTTTTGTTGTTTTGTCTGTCAGTTCAGTGAGAAAACTTACGCAATTTGCGCAGCCTTGGTTTGTATGGATATTACTTGAAAGCATGTGGCTGTTTTCTTCAGGCTCTGCTCGCTTAGAGACCGCAACCCAGAAAGGGAGGGCTAAAACTGACCCTGACCTGTACATGAGTTAGGCGCTGCTGCGGTCTGACCGGTAGCCCTCAATCATGCACTCATCCCTACTGACTACAGTAACCAGACTACGATCAATACAAGCTCCACCGCCGAGTTCCATCAGCACATGCCTCCAGCACTGCCCGTTAGCTGTCTCCTGCAACGGAGCCTCGCGCTCTCTCAGGAAGCTGAGAAGCTTAGCGAGAATGGCCCATTTATCTACACGCGCGCGCTGAACTGTCGCCGGCTCTTCGGGTCAGCGCGCTCCCGGTATTTACACGTTGTCCACCAACAGACAATGCTCTGGAATAGATGGTGGCTAGGGGCATGGCGGAGTAGCTTCCAGCGTTTACAGCGTGGCGTCGTGTAATATAGTGGCAAGGTGACTTAATCAACACTTGCATAGGAATATAGTTTCAGCACGTGAGGCTTCTTAAGCTGGACAGTCATGCAATTCACGGACATCTTCATGACAGATCCTTCGCAAACAATCGCAAACGGTGTCAGTGTCTGCGAGAATAATTGGTTTCGTTCCTCCTCAAGCAGAAAAAGACTGCTTATACATGTTGTGCTACTGCCTGGATGGATCAAGCTAAAACCGGGGATCAGTTCCAGTAGAAAAAGCCCACAAATGCGTCA